TACTTGAAATACCCGTGGAAAAGCTGAAAATTAACTAATTATGCAAATTAGGTGATTAATATGCACAAATATTTATCGAAAACAATCAATCTCTGCATAGTCCTTGAGTATGTAAGTACCAAGTTTCATTGAAATGTAATGCTAACTACTTATATCAAATGCTGAAAATTAATTAATTATGCAAATTAGGTAATTAATATGTACTGATATTACCATAAAAACTATCAGGTCTGTGCAGTGTCGTATGACATCTATGTACCAAGTTTCATTGAAATGTGATGATTAGTACTCAGATATCAGTGAAAAAAACAAAAATTGACTAATCATTATGCAAATTAGGTAATTAGTATCCACGGATTATTACCAAAAACTAATCAAAACCTAGCATTAGTTCAGAGCATCTATGTACCAAGTTTCATCAAAATCCAATGAGTGGTTGTTTAGATATCAGTGGAACAGTCATGGAACCACTAAAAAAATAGCTAATTATCATGCAAATTAGGTAATTAATATGCACAGATTTTTACCAAAAATTAATCAAATCTGCGCATATGTTCAGAGCATCTATGTACCAAGTTTCATCAAAATCCAATGAGTGGTTCTTTAGATATCAGTGGAACAGTCATAGAACAGCTAAAAATTAGCTAATTATCATGCAAATTAGGTAATTAACGAGCATGGATTTTTACCAAAACCTAATCAAATCTGCGCATTGGCCCAGAGCATCTATGCACCAAGTTTCATCAAAAACCGATGTATGGTTCTTGAGATAGCAGTGGAACAGTCGGACACACATACACACACACACATACACACATACACACATACAGACACACTAACTGCAAAGACTCCCATTTTGTGCTTCGCACATGGGAGTCAATAAAACGAGAAAATTATTCTATGTTCAACATCAATAGTAATCCATTTTTTAGATTTCAGAAAATTCGAGTTGTTGCTGATTGAAAAAAAGTTTCAATACCTTTTTGGTTTCTTTTTCTTCTAAGTTTTTAGCGTGCAACATTGCTGATAAAGATGCACGGCAGCCTTGGTTGAAAATTTCTATCATCAGAGGTGATCGTTCAGATAATACACGTAGACATAATGCAATACAGTCCAAATCATCATCATTAATACTCTGAAAAATATGAAGCAAGGTGTCAAGAAAAAATTGGGAGAAGAAAGCGGTAATACCATGGTTTGCTGTATTGGAAAAAGATCTCCAATAAAAGCATATATAAACATATCTGTATAAGCGCACACACTAGTAAATAAAGCAAATACGGTTCTCATTCACAATTTTTCACTACTTCAGATGATTTCATCAGAAAGAGCATCACCCATGGTACCTACACAAACCAAGTATCAACAACAATTGAGCAGGTTGTCTTTAAGAAAATTGACAAAAAATATTTGTTGAATGTAGACAATTGATATTGTCTTGTAATGAACAAATCTAACATAGATCCACCCATGATAGTTACATACATTGTACTCAGTATCAAAGCAATTGAGCTGATATTTTTCGAGAAGAAGTCATTTATATTAAAAGTTGACAGACTCAGGATGGATGTGGACAGATCATCCATGTGAACAGCTTCGCTTAGTCATCTTCGATGATGGTGGAAATAAATAAATATAATGATGAAATCTCACCTTTTTAGGTAAACCAGACTTGCCAAGATGCAGAATAGTCGCCATAATAAACATCGCCTCAGCTACAAACGACTAAAAAAGGAGCAAACAAATTTACTATTTATTGAACACATTTAATTTGAAAGAAATAAAATTACAAATATAAATATCTCATCTTCGTCAGCCAAGACCCATTTATTCAGCCATCACGTGACGACTATACCTTGGCATATTCTATTGAAGCAAAAGAGACCTTAGATGCAAATAGCTGTTGAAATCTCGCGAAAGAGCGAGAGAGAGAGAGAGCACTATGCGACATGTTTATTATACCCCTTGAATACTGTTTCCTTCTCATCGTTCCTCACATCCACTGTACCAAACACCTTAGTTTACAGATCAGTCAGTGGAACAGTAGATGTGATAATTGAGTAAACAGAGCACTATTTTTGGTCCAAGTTGCATGGATATCTCTCTCTCAACAAGATCTCATAGCCATCTGTTCATGGTCTAATACTTGTGAAGCGTGAAAATTATGTTCAAGGAAAGAAACGAAAACAAATTATTTACATGAAAATTTTCTTACATTCTGTTTTTTTTGATCTTCTGATATTTTGATATATCTTAGTGCTATTTTTGTAAGGGTCATGGCAAGGGAAGCACCAACGAAGAAATCTCCTTCTAAGAGATAGCCACGAAGCGGTGGTCTGCAAATAGAACATATTATTGTCAATATTGATGAAAATAAGACTCCAATATATGCACATGGCTTGAACTTTACAAAGACATTGTCTTGATTGGTGCCCTTTGATAGTTCCCATTTTATTCCTATGTGTTAGGTCATTTTATAAATCTTGTACTTGAAATGGACTTAACTAACTTAACTGACAAAACAGACACTATATACTATTTACCTATTATCTTCTTCCATCTGTCTTGTACTCACTGAGCTCAAAGCACTTTGTGTTGCGTATGTGCCCATCTCAGTAACCAATCGCTGTCCATATGTCACAGCTCTCTCATCTGAAAATGTACACATCTTGGTTTACTTACAAGATACAATAAACGTTTTTTTTCTATTGTTGGCCACATGAATTTAGAATCTTGTTTGACATAACTCACAAACAAATTAGCAAAATTTAAAAGCATAATCAATTCTTGAAAATGAAAAACCTAACAACTTAAAATTACTAATAAACCCAAACTTCTTTCCATGAAAACAATTATTTCTATAGTCACAGAGTATAACTTTGCAACATTTCAGGCAATTCCTTCGACGAAAA